ATTTGATACGAAAATACAATATATGTGATATGTGTGTCACGGTGTGTAATAACCCAAAAAAAAAAAATTTAAATGTAATTTAATGACAGGAAACCCAATGGTCATGAAACCTACGACTATTAATCATGACTTATCGTTTCATATCCCGTGAAACCGCCGATGGGGTTTAGTATAAAATGGGAGTTTGTAGCTTTATGTGTAGCTTGGGGTCAAGAAGGAGAACTATTGTGAGAAAAGGCGACGGTGGACGTTGTAATGAGAGTTGACGATGCTCTACAACGTAGCTAGTTTGGCACCAATCGGGGAGACGCTAGCCACGTTAAAGATCGGTTTGGGCTACGCCATGTATAGTGAGTTACACGTGATTTGTTTTTAAAATGGTTGCATGCCTTATTTCTTATTATCCACAAGTTGTTTGAAGCTTCTCGAGATTTTTGATACGTAATATATGCGTGAAAAGTGGGATATTTTTATAAAATGTGTTTTGTGTATTTGTGTGTCAATTGGGATGTACTACAATTTGAATTCGTAAAAACGAGCATGCTTTGTGAGTTTGTCTAAGCCGTAAGTGCGAACATGTTGTGTGATTTCGCCAGGTAATGTTGTGTGAGGTAGACATCTCCCATGACGCTGTTGCTTTGTGATGTAGACACGCGCTAAAATATCTTTATTTTTTGAAAATCATTATTCTCATCAAGGCATGCTAAATTTATAAATCTTCGTGAAAATTGTTTTTTATAAAAGTTGTTGTTCATGCATGAAAACCGTGGATTCACTGGGCCTAAGGCTCACCCAAAACTCTTTTAAAACTTTTTCACCCAGGCGGCTATTAGACTGGAAAGAAAAGTTGGATAAAGAGATAAATAAAAATTAGCATCAAAGAAGGATATGTGCAGATCAAGGCATTGTTATATCGAACAAAGTATGTTCGTCAAGTATGTAAGTTTAGATGGTGATATAAATTGTAAGATTCGAAATTTTATTTCCGATGCAATGTAAGTGTTTGATCTTGGGATACTAATTTTGATATATTTAAGTATTTGGAAATTTTGGAATGTTACACGGTGCTAGCAGGAGACCAGACAAATCATGTGCCACTCATTTAAGTTTGGTCTATGAGTACTTTTATCGCCAATTTATTATTCATGTAAATTCATCGTAAATAATTAAACATTAAATTTAACGCCGTCGTCAATCAAAGAGACAATTATCTACTTGTTATTTGAACGCTTATCTGTTAATCGTTATCTATATTTATACTATATTATAAAGCATTTGACAAAAACTCTTAAAAAACATTTTTTATGTATGAAGTACTGTTTATTGATGCATATTGCTTAAAATTCAAGATTATAAATAAATTGTGCGTAAGTACAACTTACTAAAGCCTCATGTTTGAATCGTGTAACTAACTGCAAATAAACATAATCAAATAGATGATAAACATCTTATTTTAAATATAAAAATTAAAATATAATTAGGATAATCATTGAGCTCTAACAAAATATTCATTTATTATCTTTATAAAAAATTATATTATTAAACCAAAAATAAAAAAATGAATTAAAGAAATATAAATAAAAGAAATTTTAAATAGTTAGTTTGGTACTAATATCATTATTTTTTTCAAAATTTTATGATATTTTCATATTTATAGTTATTTAAAAATAAAAATATCATCGTTTTTTCTCAAAACTACATAAAATCGTATTATAACATCGATTGAGATGAAAATAAATAAAACGAAATATTAAAATTGAGATATATCTCGTTGTATTATATGTGTACCCTTATAATTATTTAATAACTTTTGAATATAATTTATCAGGAATAAATGTTAGCTTATCAAAATCAACTTGATAATTTTTGTTTTCTTTTAATTATCTTTTATTTACATTTTTGGTCCCTCTAGTTTGTTTTTTCTTTATCCTTTTTAAATTATTGTACACATATCTAAGCTATTATTATCATTTATACTTTTAATCATGATTTTAACATTTTAATTAAATTACCAAAAATAGTATGTTTAATTAAAAAATAAAATATTATTCTATAGATTATTATCATAGGGATTGCGTTCACGTGAGACCAACCTGTTTTCATGAGACCATTTTTTTATACTTGAAACTTCACAGCAAAACACAGAGAAGGTAAAAAAAACCAAACATTCACAGCAAAAACACTGTGAAAGTTACATTTACAACAAAAACACTGTGAATGTTACCTTCACATCATTTGTTGTGAAGTTTCAAGTGTAAAAAACGATGTCACGAAGCTCACAAAAACAAGTTGGTCTCACATGATACCAAATCTATTATCATAACAATAAAGACTATTAGATAACTTAACTATTATAACAACTGCTATTAATTTTTTTATATTAATAGTATGTACTGAAATATTAAAATTATATTAGAAGGCTACTCGTGCAATGCATCAAGACATATCTTGATTTCAGTATTTTGTTTTATTCTTTTTTATGTCAATATAATACAGTTTTATTTGTTTTGAAAAAGCGATAATAATTTTATTTTTGAATAAAATATAAATTTAAAGATATTATAAAATTTTGGGAAAAAATTTATATCGATATCAGTATCAAATTAATATTTTTAAAAGTTCTTATGTTTCGGTGTAATTTCCTTAATTCATTTTCTTTAATGATAATTTAATTTAGATTTACTAATAAAGAAAATTAATTTAGGTTTAATAATATAATTTTTATATAGATAATAACTAAATATTCTGTTAAAACTCAATAATTATTCTAATTATATTTTAGATTTTTTATATTTAAAATGAGATGTTTATCTAATATTTGATTATGTTTATCTGCAATTAGTTATATGAATTCAAATATGGAGATTTAATAAGTTGTAATTATGCACAATCTCAAGTAATATGCATCAATAAACAGTACTTCGTGCTTATAAAATGATTTTTAAGAATTTTTGTCAAATACTTTATAATATAGTATAGATTTAAATTTCTTAATTTAATCAATTTACTATATTTTAATAATATAATAAACTGTATAATTTAAAAAATAAAGAAGTTATTGAAATTGAATACTATGTTTTATAAATTTTAATTATTTATTTTTTTAAAATCTGATAAATATTCAATTATTAATGTAAAATAATGATTATATGTTTTTGTTTTTTCCATTCCCATTTAGTGGACATGTAATTCCAATCCGTACGTTTTGGAAGCATACATAATGAAATTATTGGGTCAATCTGAAAAGGCAAAAGAAGAGTTAATAATATTAAATTTTCTTTTTTAAATTATATTTTATTTAAATACCAGAAGGGTACTCGCGCAATTCAGCGAAATACATCTTGATTTTAATGTTTCGTTTTATATTTTGGATCTATCAATATTATGATGCTATGTGGTTCTAAAAAAAGAAAATATTTTTATTTTTGAATAAAATATAAATATAAATTTGAAAATATCGTAAAATTTTGAAAAAAAACAAGTGATCTTAGTATTAAATTAACTATAAGTTCTCGTTTTTATGTAATTTCTTTGATTCAAAATTTTATTATAATTTAATTAAAATTTAAAAACGAATTAATTTATATTTGGTTTAATATTATACTTTTTATGAAGATAATAATTAATTGTTTTGTTAGAACTCAATAATTATCTTAATTATATTTTAAATTTTTTATATTTTAGAATGAGATGCTTATAATCTATTTGATTATGTTTATACGTAGTTAGTTACACGAATTTAAAATGAAGTTTTGATAAGTTGTACTTACGTACAATTTACTTGTAATCTTGAATTTTAAGTAATATGCATCAATAAACAAACTTCATGCGTAAAAAACGGTTTTTAAGAATTTTTGTCAAATACTTTATAATATAATATAGATTATGGTTACTGGTTTGGGTAAATTGAATAAAAACGAATTATGCTTTCATGTCACACCTTACTTTTCATCTGGGTCGTTATGACATATTATGACTTAAAACATGTTTTCGGCATGCAGTTCAATTAACAAAGGGACGTTATGATCTGATTGAATACAAGATGCGTTTTTTATAGTGGGTCTTTCGTTAACTTCAGCTGCTGAATGAACCAAAAAATATATCTTTACGTAGATTTATGTGAATACGGGTTTCAAACTATTGTTATAATTTACTAAAAACGTATGAAGCATGATAATATCTTACATAGCAACATACTCCGTATATTGGACCACAATTGGATCAATAATATTTTATAAAATGGGCCTTATCTTAGGTTGTAAGCCCAACAGGCTCTTTTGAATATGGAGCAAATGGCCCAAAGTGGCTGACTCGGGTGTGTAAATTACCTAAATACCCTTTGTTTAGGATTTTTTTTGAAGTATATAATACTTATATACGACAAATGTAACAAATAAACTCACACACCCTCCTCACCTATGGTGAGGTTTGAACCACTGACCTCCTACAAGGCCAAGGGCTACGATACTGCTAGGTCAAAGGCCCTTTGGGTGAACGTTTAGGATGTTCTTGGTGGCCATTAATCTTCTGTTTAGGTGAACGTTACCCGTCTCCATCCCCCGTCTCGATTTTGAACTTCCGGGAATCCCTGTTCCCATCCCTAGTCCCCGGTTTTACAAGAAATCCCCGTCCCCGACAGGTTATCCAATATAACGAGTCTCATTTCCATGCCTATGATCCGATTCGTCTCCGCTTTCATGATCAGTGGCGGAGGGAGAAGATGATAAGTTTCAAGAGGAACAATCATGAAAAATTTGTGGTGTTGAAGACGACGAATATTTGACTTTTTACATTTAGGGTTTTGTTTAAGGTGTAAATATGCTTTATCTCATCAAGTTTGATCACTATTTTAGGGACTAAATTTGCAAGATCAATATAAAGTTTAGGGACTAAATTTGCAAGATCACTATAAGTTTAGGGACTAAATTTGTAAATTTCTCGTTCCCTTTTATCTTCAGGCAAGGTTCTTTCAACTGTCTAAAACCCCATAAACCACGGTCATGGCTTCCTCTACAGCTTCCCCTCACTTTCTTCCTCTACCTTCCTCCAAAATCTCTAGAACCACAATTCCCACTTCATTCCATCTCTCCTCTTCCTCCTTAAACCCTATCTCAAAGCTCTTCTCCATATCCACTTCGATTAATGTCTTTGAGGCCACGCCATCGTCTCGATTCGTCCCAAGAGTTGCCTTTTCATTGGATTTAGACTTGGATGACGATTTATCAATCGGTCGTGATGAAGAACAGGATCACCGTTTCTTCCCTCAACTTAAACTCTTTGTGGGTAATTTGCCGTTTAATGTTGATAACGCAGCTCTTGCTCGATTGTTTGAAGGTTCTGGAAGTGTCGAGATGGCTGAGGTATAATTTACTGTTTTCAAAATAGTTCTTGTTCGTTATTGATGTTTAATTCACTCTTTTGAATCTATTTTTCGTTCTTTTATTGTAGAATAATGTAATTTTGTGTTACATACTTACTAATTTTGAATTAAATCGATCTGTATTTCGAAGTTTTTGTGGATTTGCGGTGTAATTACTGTTACTATACCTTAAATTGGCTCATGTTCTTGCTAAAAGTGGGTTAATAGTTGGATGCTCTTTTCCCCCCTTTTTAAACAACCACTAATATGTTGCAGGTTGTATATGACAAATTGAATAGAAGAAGTAGGGGTTTTGGCTTTGTAAAGATGTCATCCAGTGAAGAAGCCGAAGCAGCTGCTAGGAAGTTCGATGGCTATGTAAGTTCCTTGATGAGATATATGTTGGTGATCTTAGGGGCTGTTTGGTTGGTTTTTCAGTAAGTCTGGTATGGATAAAGTCGTGGATTAATCTGTCTATATAGATTGGGAAAGTTTTTGTTTGGGAAAGTTTTTTCATAGACGGAAGGAGCGTGTTCTTTATTGGGAGGGGCATGTTTGGGAAAAACTTGGCTCTCTGCATAAAGCTCCCCCTAGAAGCCTACTGAATAAGCAACTTTCTATGTCAAACAGTCATGTATAGCTGACCGAAGTGAGTCCCATTAAGTTCGTTAAACTGCTAAGAAACAAGCCCTTAGTGAAAAGTTCATTTTATGTAATTGGATTCACAAGAGAACAATGGGGTTGTTAGTTAAGTTATAAAACGGATTAGGAGATGTGGAGTACACTGGATGGCGCCTTATGGCGGGGTCAAGGGGTCCGTGCCCCTTTACGGGGTCGGTGCTGTTCCCACCTGTCATATTTGTTTGAGTTCTACATCGACTAGACTTGAAACAATTTTTTTGGAACCTCCGTTCTCTCCTCAAGAGCTCTTTTGGAGTGTAATCTAATGGGGCTCTACATATTTTCACATTGTGTTGAGCTACATTTGTTCATGTTATATGTCGATCTTTGTTTCATTTGAAGTAAGTCATTTTCGTGTTAAAACCTTTTGAAATCATAGGAGCTTGATGGTAGGCAACTGAGGGTCAATTACGGGCCACCTCCAAGGAAGAAGTCAGTCGTTAGAGAACCGAGAATTGATGGTCGTGGTGACAATATCTCCAACACGGTTTATGTTGGAAACCTTTCATGGAGTGTTGATGATCAGGCTCTTGAAACTTTATTTTGGGAGCACGGAAATGTAATGAAAGCCAAGGTATCTCACGATGAAGATAGTGGTAGATCAAGGGGTTTCGGGTTCGTGACTTACAGTTCTGCTGATGAGGCCTATCAGGCGGTTGAATCACTTGATGGTGTTGTAAGTGGACTCCTTATCTTTTAAATTCTAGGTTTACTCAAGATTTTTTTACGGATAGGACGACCCACTAGTTGCAGCCCATTTAGAAAAGTGGGTTTGGACAACCATTCTCAAAAAAATGGGCGACCCGCACAATAAAAAGAAGTCCAAACAAGCCCGCCCGCCCCATTTATTTTTTGTTTTTATATAATTAATCAAGTCTGCATACATCTTAGGAGCTGTGCGGTTGGTTTATCATCAAGTCTTGTGTGGATAAAGTTGTTTGTATAAATTTTGAAGATTTTTGTGTGGGATTCACTGGGTTTGTTTGGTTTGATTTGGTAACTAAACTGCATTGAAATTTCTGGTGCAGGATCTTGATGGCAGAAATATCCGAGTTAGTGTAGCCAAACCTCAACAAAGGCGTCAACTCTAAACGATCTTTTTGTACCGCTACTGAAAACTTGTAGCATTTTGTTGCTCGTATCAACGTCGTGCTTCTTAGCGCATTTGAAACACGGTCGAGTCAGTTGGCATTTCCTGCTTTCACCAATTCAACCAATTCTTGAAAAACTGCAAGTACGTTTGGGGACTTTCGATGCTGGACCCATCAACTGTTTTAAGTTGATTGGTTTCGTGATAATTCTTATGAAAGGGTGTGCGTAGATGTGAGGACTTCGAGGCATAGGCCATCTTGCGTGTACCAAGGGAAGGTGGGTGGGGCCTGGAGTCGAACATCAGACCTTTGACTCACTCGTTAATCCGCTAGGCTAAAGCCGGGGAGATTATGAACCGATTGTTGTAATATTATTTCTCCGTTCTTCATTTTAGTCTCGATTTTGTGATTTTAACACTCTAATATGGATAAAAATCTATCGTCTCAAACTCTGATGTTTTATTCCTTTCCACCAATTGAATTAATACACATAACATGATTTAAATAAATTTAAAATAAATAAGAATTTGATTTGTATTAATTTTATTGGTGGGACATGAATGGAATGGAAGATTTTAAGACAGGTGCTTTTGATTTTTATCCACTGTCCAAAAGGCTCGTCGCAACAATCACCGTGTCTCGAGACTTCCATCTCACGTCATGTTAAGCCTATGGCATGCTTTGGCCTAATGCCCGGTTTTTCTAACACGATATTTGATTTTTCTTGTCTTTTTAATGTCTTATTTGTTAGTGTTGTTAAGAGAATAGGTCAAGTCTGACCTCTTCAAGCTGGGATTTGATTTTATCTGTTTTCTAAGAGAATAACTCGGTCTTCCATTGTGACCGATTCTTTAGCAATTTGTTATTTTAGCTTTRTTTGTTTTATCTCTTCCTTGTATCTGCTCTATTTAAAGAGCCCAGTAGTATGAATAAACGTATGGTTTTTTCTTGACTTAATCAGTGAATAATACCATCCCTTACACGTGGTATCAGAGCTCCATCTTCCAGGGGATGTTTGAGTGAAATTGAGAGAAGAAAAAGTGGCAATCGAATGGCAGAGAGTAGCAGTACAAGCGGATTTGTGGTACCGGCCATACCAAAATTCGAAAGGCACTATGATCATTGGGCCAAGCTAATGGAGAATTTCATTCGATCGAAGGAGTATTGGGATCTCATCGAGAAAGGGATCAACAAGCCARCAGAAGGAAGATTACCCACTGATGCACAACAAAAGGTGATCAATGAACAGACTTTGAAAGATCTGAAGCTCAAGAATTTCCTGTATCAAGCCATAGATAGAGACATACTTGATACCATCCTCAACACCGACACAAGTAAGCAGATTTGGGATARCATGAAGCAGAAGTTTCAGGGCTCTACAAGGGTTAAACGAGCTCAAYTACAGGCCTTACGCAAGGACTTCGAGACGCTTAACATGAAGGAAGGGGAGACAGTCAACAACTATTTTGCAAGAACTCTTGCAATTGCTAAKAAGATGAAGGCRTGTGGAGAAGCAGTTCAAGAGAAACTAATCAYGGAGAAGATTTTGCGGTCAATGACGTYCAAGTTCAACTACRTGGTATGCTCAATSGAAGAATCGAACAACTTGGACACACTTACCTTGGACRAWTTGYAGAGTAGTMWGTTGGTTCACGAGCAKAGAATGAAAGTCGGTGACGAGGAGGAACAAGTTCTTAAARTGGCAGGTGACGAAAGAGGTGTGAGAACCAGAGGAGATGAAAGAGGTACGGGAACTAGGGGTCGAGGAAGTTATCGAGGCGGTTTCAGAGGTGGAAGAGGCTGTGGAAGAGTTTATAATATGAGAGTAGCGATCGAGTGTTTCAAATGTCACAAATTAGGACATTATCAAAGCGAATGTCCTAGTTGGGATAATGTTAACTACACTGAGTTTGATGAAAATGAGGAGATTATACTAATGGCTTTTGTTGAAGCTACACAAGCGGAGGAAACGTGGTTTCTAGATTTTGGGTGTTCTAATCATGTGACAGGTAACAGGGAGCGGTTTACAAACCTAGACAATGAGTTCAAACACTCTATAAAGTTAGGCAATGGCACAAGATTGAAGGTGGAAGGGAGGGGGAGTATCAAACTCTCGTTTCAAGGTAGAAATCACRTCATCAACGACGTGTACTTTGTACCTGAACTGACCGCAAATCTGCTAAGTGTGGGGCAGCTACAGGAGAAAGGATTAATTGTGATAATCAGGGACGGATGTTGTAGGATTTATCAYAGAGAYCGGGGACTTCTATTGACCTCATACATGACACCAAACAAGATGTTTCTCGTGTCAGCCGCTAAAATTTCCTCAGGTGAATGTCTACAGACAACAACTGAGGATATTTCCTACATGTGGCATAAACGGTTTGATCACTTGAATCAAGATGACTTGCAACTTTTATCAAAGAGGGAGATGGTAAATGGGATGCCCCACATTCAGGACATGAATCGCGTGTGTGAGATCTGCGCAAAAGGGAAGCAACATAGGGGGCCCATTCCAAAAACGGCGAATTGGAGAGCATCAGAGAAGCTTCAACTTGTGCATACCGATCTTTGTGGTCCGATCACACTGTGCACTACAATGGGAAAAAGGTATATGCTAACTTTTATTGATGATTTTAGCAGGAAACTATGGATTTATTTTCTATCGGAGAAGCATGAAGCACTTGGAGTCTTCAAGAACTTCAAGACTTTAGTCGAGAAGGAAGCCGAAAGAAAGATAGCATGCCTCAGAAGTGAGAGGTGGCGAGTTTAACTCCATCGACTTCAACGAGTTCTGTGCTACCAACGRAATTAAGAGACAGTTGACCGCTGCTTACACGCCCCAACAAAATGGGGTTGCGGAGCGGAAAAATCGAACCATCATGAACACCGTTCGATGTTTGCTAGGTGAGAAAAGAATGCCAAAGGAGTTTTGGGGAGAAGCAGCTCGATGGACAACACACTTCCTTAACAGGAGTCCGACTGTTCTTTTGAAAGATAAACCTCCACATGAGGGTTGGTACGACACAAAGCCTAATGTGGACTACTTTAAGGTGTTTGGATGTATAGGGCATGTACACATTCCAAATCAGAAAAGAGTTAAGTTGGATGAAAAAAGTCATACATGCATATTCCTTGGTATGAGTGAAAAATCCAAGGCATATAAAATGTATGATCCAGTGAAGAAAGTCACTGTAATAAGCAGAGATGTGCTCTTTGATGAAGATCGATGCTGGAAGTGGGGAAGGAGTTTTGAAGGAGAAAGGACAGATAAGCTGATAGAAGAGGAGGACACGAGACAGTTCACTAATGATGGTGCTAGCCTCGAACCAGAAAGTTCCAGCCATCGTGAGCCAGAAAGCTCCGATCGCCCCGAGACAGAAGACCCTTCAAATACTAGAGTAACAAACAACTCTAGTTCTGCCGGAGAACAGCCGATTCAAGAAGGAAGAAGGCGTGTAGTACCCCGACATCTTCAAGATTACGTAAGTGGAGAAGGGATCTCTGAAGATGAAGAAGAACAATACCTAGTTTTTCATGCGTCTCAAGAAGATCCAATACGTTTTTCTGAGGCTGTTACGGAGACGAAGTGGAAAGATGCAATGGATGCCGAGATGGAAGCAATTGAGAAGAACAAAACATGGGAGCTAGTTAACCTACCACCCAGAACAAAGAAGATAGGAGTGAAGTGGGTTTACAAGACCAAGCTAAATGAAAAAGGAGAGGTCGACAAATACAAAGCAAGGTTGGTCGTGAAAGGTTACGCACAAAAATACGACATCGACTATGATGAAGTATTTGCATCTGTGGCTAGGTGGGATACAATTCGAATGATACTAGCACTAGCGGCACAAAAGGGGTGGAACGTCTTTCAATTAGATGTCAAGAGTGCGTTCTTACACGGAGTCTTAAAAGAAACTGTTTATGTTGAACAGCCGGAGGGGTATGTCCGAGCAGGAGAAGAACATAAAGCCTACAAGCTCAATAAAGCTTTATACGGACTGAAACAGGCGCCAAGAGCCTGGTATAGTAAGATCGAAGAATATTTTCTTAATAATGGCTTTGTCAAAAGCAGCCAGGAGCATACGTTATTCTTCAAACACGATCCTGAAGGAGGTTTTCTTGTAGTAAGTTTATATGTGGATGATTTGATTTTCACCGGAAATAACTTGGCTTTATGTGACAGATTTTAAGTCTCTATGAGTCAAGTTTTCGATATGACAGATCTGGGAAAGTTGCACTACTTCTTGGGAGTAGAAGTCCAGCAAACAAGAAAAGGAATCTTTGTATGCCAAAGTAAGTACGCAAGCGAAGTGCTGACAAGGTTCGGAATGGAGAACTGTAATCCGGTGAATAATCCGGTCGTKCCCGGAACGAAGTTAACTAAGAAAGGAGGAGCARAAGCTGACCCGTCACTGTATAAACAGCTGATAGGYAGTCTAATGTACCTAACGACTACCAGGCCTGATCTGATGTATGTGGTATGTATGTTAARCAGATTTATGTCCAATCCAAGAGAAACACACTTAATGGCTGCTAAAAGGGTGTTGCGATACATTAAAGGTACTTTAATGTTTGGCTTATTTTATRAGAAAGGTAACGATGAAGAGCTGAAGGCCTATACTGATAGTGACTTYGCTGGAGATRCTGATGGTAGCAAAAGTACATCAGGATATGTATTTTTGATGAGTAATGYCGCGGTAGCGTGGAGTTCAAAGAAGCAACCCATAGTAACACTATCGACCACAGAAGCTGAGTACGTTGCAGCCTGTGCATGTGCCTGCCAAAGTATTTGGATGAAGGGGATTTTAGATGATCTCAATCAAGGTCATAATAAATGCACAAAAATCCTTTGTGATAATAGTTCCTCAATCAAGCTTTCCAAGAATCCGATGTTTCATGGAAGGACTAAGCACATTAAGGTTCGGTTTCACTTTCTACGTGATTTGGTTAAAGAACGTGAAGTGGAGCTGGTTCACTGTGGAACAAAAGAGCAGGTCGCTGACGTGATGACAAAACCAATGAAGCTTGACACTTTTATAAAACTACGAATAATGCTTGGAGTTCAAGAATCAAACTGAGTTGGTTACTGCAAGCTCAGTTTGGGGAAGGATGTTAAGAGAATAGGTCAAGTCTGACCTCTTCAAGCTGGGATTTGATTTTATCTGTTTTCTAGGAGAATAACTCGGTCTTCCATTGTGACCGATTCTTTAGCAATTTGTTATTTTAGCTTTGTTTGTTTTATCTCTTCCTTGTATCTGCTCTATTTAAAGAGCCCAGTAGTATGAATAAACGTATGGTTTTTTCTTGACTTAATCAGTGAATAATACCATCCCTTACACGTTTCATATATAACTTAATTTAAATTATTTATTATCGTTGACTCATTGAGTAATAGAAGAAAATATATGTTTATATACATAGATCAGGTTTAGAGGAAAACCGCAAAAAATGAAAAAAATGAGGAACACCTTGATAACCGTTTATCTGGACGATATGCATATGTGTATACAAGTAACTTGTAAGCAATTTGTGCAGTGTGCACATGTACATAACATGCACACGTGTATAAAAACCAAGAAAAACCTTAAATAACTTGTATGCACATGTCCATACCATCTAGATGAATGCTAACAAGATGTTCCTCAATTTTTCAATTTTTTGGGTTTTCCCTGGAACCTCTTTCTCTCTCTATCTATCTCTCTCTCTCTCTATATATATATATATATATCATTCATATAATATAGAGATTTGCTGCTATAACCCACGCCGTGGCTCCTTAGATTTGAGGCTTGGTTTTGCTGCCACG